CTTGGTGCTTGGAGTTTCAACATGGATCACGACTTCTGGTGTGGATTTGCTGTCAGTACCAACGGTGAAAGTAGATTCGGTTGAATATGTAGATGTAAAGGAACCTGTCCAGCCAGTAGTAGTAGTAGTAGTGATCTTGGTGCTTGGAGTTTCAACATGGATCACGACTTCTGGTGTGGATTTGCTGTCAGTACCTACGGTGAAAGTAGATTCGGTTGAATATGTAGATGTAAAGGAACCTGTCCAGCCAGTAGTAGTAGTGGTAGTAGTGACTGGCATTTTAGTTTGACCAGATATAATACCTCCTTGTTTACCTTCATCAATAACATGATCAATCAATGTACTAAATTGTTGGACAGTTTGAGTATGGGCAATAGTATTGGAACATGTATATTCAACACTGACTTCTTGACGAATATTATGTTGTCCTTCTGGGACATATTGAAGAGCATTTACCCAAAGAGTGAAATTTGGTTTAGTTTGAGGCATAGTGATCCATAAATTGTTACCAAAACAGTATACTTCAGCTTTAGAATCTTCATAATCAGTAGGGAACCACCAATCATTATACTTATCTGAAATGTAGGTTTGTATGGAAGAACAATCTAGTGTGTAGCCACCATTATTAACATCAAAATTAATTTCTTGAGTACCGCCGACCAAGAAACCATTTTCACATTTCATAGATAAAAAGTAAGATTCCAAAGAGTCATATGTAGTTGTACGAGAAACTGCATAAATAACATCGTTGAATGTGGCAGCTTCAAAAGTGATAGAAGCAGATAACTGTTCATGGATTGGAAGATCCATTTCACCACTATGGAAAAACTTTGCATTTTCTAAAGCATTAGAAGTAAGACGATCACCGTTATTAAAAGACAAACCTAATGTAATTACACCTGATAATGATTGATAATCATACAAAGGAGTTAAAGCATAGCAACTAATGACAGTTTCATTGTAAAGGTAGGCAGCTTGTTGAGTTGGAAGACATTGGAATAAATTTGTACCATCATCAAGGGAAACAAAGAATGTATTGTTGTTACCATCAAACTTGGCACGATAGACACGAGAAAAGGTAAGGGTAAAGTGATCACCTTCATTAATCAAAGAAGCATCTGGTAGGTTAAATTTTAAACTTGTAGACCAAGTTAAATGAGGGTAAAGTACATCATGTAGAGGTGTATATTCTAAAGATGAAAATTCAACATTGCTGATTTCTTCACCAAAGACACATCTCAAACATGCTATCCAAAGAAAAATATATTGTAAACCGAATATCATTTTTTAGAATTGATTATTATTAGTCGATTTATTATTGAGTTGTTTGATTGATGTTCTTTTTTGATCTATATTAATATTATAATATAATAAATTAAATGAGATATACCATTTTCATTCAATGTGATAAAACCTGACGTTTATATATTTTTATGAATGCAATTAAAATCAAAAAAACAACAACAACATTCAAGATAAGATAGACTAAAATTGTTATTCTAAAATCATATAGTTATTCCAGACCTTATTGAACGACACGAATAATCATAATATTAAAACATTTCGTTTTTACCTCAATTGCATGGTTTGGAGTTTTAAAACTTGATATTTATTATGCTCTAACCGCACCAGGTACACTCCAATACGTTGATCCAATTTAAAACCGCTCAAATGAAATTTCATGATAATTGACATCCATGCTAAGTTGATGCATTTTGATGCATTTTGTTACATACCAAAACTTAAGAAACGAAGAATGAGACATTCATACTGTTGCTAGGTTGACTACGGCAGGCTGAACAAGGCCTGCAGAAAAAGAATCATAAAATAGAGGGAACCATTGGTAACTAAGTAACATCAATTATTAACGAGTAAGGAATTATTTCTAGGAAATGTATCACATCACGTTTTGGCGTTCAATATTTGGGGTTCGCCCCATTATTCTGTTAATCACTTATTGATTGTTTTTTTTCTAATAATAAAAATAAGGAAGAATCGTAACTGCAGACCGTTAATCAAATAATTTTGATGCATTTTTTTTATTATTAGATCTAACGATAAAAATATACTAGAAAATAGAGCACCATATCTACTGAATAACCGAGATAACTTCTGAACCATCAATTGTAAAACAATCACACACTAAAACACTAAAGTTAGAGCTAAAAAGTACTGATAATAGTAGTGGTTGTTATGGCAGGTCAAATTTGACAATGGTCGTGGTTGTCGTTCCTCGAAAGCGTGTTTCTTTTTCTTTTTTTTTTTTTTGCATCTGAATTCGAATTTGCATTTTGGCATCCTTAGTACTGCGGACATATCTTCGTCGAGACTTTTGACTTTCCTATTTGGGACGACAATAGACGCCGAGATCTCATCACGAAAAAGAAAAGCGAAAAATCCTTCTATGGTCATCTCTGTCCAAATGTCCCAATTCAGAAATTGTAGGTACCAAAATATTGGTTTCTTTTTGTTTTTTCTTTTGCTTGGTGAAATAATACCAAATCTTTAAAAGTTGAAAACTTTTCGAATGGCAGAGGTATAGTATACCTAAAGAAAAGGATGAATGACTTTAATGTCTGTTTTACCTTATTGAATCGTAGATCAAGTGGTTAAATTGAGAGTTAACTTCGATTGTTTCGGATATTAGTAATGCTTAGTGCCCATTGATTGATTGATTGATGAATACGGTAACCAAGGAGCTCTTTTTACGTTTCTTTACTTTTGGTCAATTACCGAAGGATGCAGTTGGAGTAGCTGTTCGAAATATAAAACATTTTAATCCATGAGACCTATTATTGATGCTAGGTTTTCGATCTTTGAGGTTCTTTTCAATTATAATTTAATGACATGGCAACGTTGTATCTGCCTCCCAATTCTTTTAATAACTTTTTAATTTTTCTTTTTCATTATTGATTTGAATAAAAAGAAAAACTAGTTAAATGATAATTGAATTTTAACAATACAACTTATCTAACCATTCTATTGATGTTCCCATGGAGTGATCGATAGATTCCTGATTGGGATTGCTATCAGAAAGATCAATTTTAAAGAAGAGTATTATCTTTTAACACAAAACAAAACAGATCCAAAATTGAATATATAAATCCAGAACCTCAAATAATATAATAGCTATAGACATTTCTGGAATTAGATATATTACTGTCTATTGATTGCTCAAAACAATCAAATAGGCTGACAATTATGGAAATGTCTTATTCCCAATGATATTAAATGAGTAAACCTTCATTTTAATAAAACTTTAACTTTTTTGTCTTTATGGGCCTTTTGCTGACTTCATCTCATCTCATAAAAACGAATCATATGGCTTATTATTTTCCCTATTGATTATTTATGGTTCTATTTTTTTTTATTATTTTTTTCTTTTATTCGAACCTCTAAACATTAGAATTTCAATTACAATCCCGAGTTTGGCCATAAATAGATATAAATTAGTTTCTTCTGATCAAATTAAATTCCTTGAGTTTCAAATCAATTTCAAGTACTTGCAAAACCTTTGGTTCAATTACCTTGTACATAAATTTCTGAACATATTTGAATATCCCTAAAACTTAATCTAATTAGAAATATAATTATGATATGCTCTATTTTTTGGGTGGGACACTCCTAGACAAAAGCGCAACACCAACAAATGGATAGCCATTGGCTAGGAAATCCCTGTAGTAGGTTATATATACTATTTATCGATGTACATAATTCTTATTAATTTAAATGTCTTTAATTGAATCAAGACTAAGAAATGGTAAAAATGACATTAATATTTGTTTGATATGCATGTTTATTCCCCTGCCAAATTTTGATGTTGGCAAAAAAAAATTAAAGTCTTTACGTTTTACTTTAATTTACAATTTATTACTAGTTATGCCGTCAACATTAGATGAGACAATTTTCATCACTAGTATATATTGTTATTTTCAAAACTATATTTGCTGGAACAACTTTCAAATTAAAATATATAGAATCTTCATTTTGAAAAATCTCAAACTATAGCCTTGGCTTCACATCCAGGGCAATTATGTAAAACTTCATGAATGAATACATCACAGTCAATGCAAAAATCCTGTTTACAATCAGTACATCTATAACGTGAACTTGTCAATAATTCACCAGTTTTTTGATTTCTTAGAACAGGAAAACGAATTTGACAACTAAAGCAATTATCTGTTGGAAAATTTTCTGTATGAGGAACTTCAGAGAATGTCTTTAATGGCATTAGATGATGATATGAACGTGCTAAATGGGTTGATAAGATCAACATCAGGTCACAACATGGACATACTATTGGTAATGAACAAACTTTATTTTGACAATTTGGACAAAAATAACCACCATAAACTAGTTTTGAATGGCATGCACAGAAAGATGGAGAATCTTCAAAAACTCTTGTAGGAAAACCCATTTTAACCAAAGTAAAACCTTTATTAATTTTATTTACCGGTAGTGGTGTAACGGCTTCATCAAATAGTTCTTTAAAATGAGTTTCGTCTAAAATAATTCTGTAAAAAGAATCGTCATTATAATTGGTAGCTTTACATAACTCTTGACATATAGCTACTTGTGCAGATAACCCAATAACTTTCACACGAATCTTTTCCTCCACCAAAGATTGAATAGTTTGATGAATATCACCAGGATCGGTACTAGATAAACCTCCAAATACGATCAAAACTTCCCGTGTACAATGTGCAGGGACTGGTAATAACAACCCTCTTGCCATTTCTAATGCATTTTGTAAAGATGGGTTGCCTTTAGGTTCTTGTCTTCTTATTGATTTCAAAGCATCAATATGTTCTTGTGGATTACCACTTACTGGAGTTAGTAATTGAGCCAGACCATTTTTCATAATAACTATACCTAGTTGAGAAATTGGATTTTGATCAAAAAATTCATGAGTGAAGTCAATTGCGTATTGTATACTCATGACATTTCGATTTGGTCTTAAATCCTTTTCTGCCATTGCTTCGCTACAGTCCAAGACTAAGATTAAAGATCTAATGATACCTCTCTGATATGGCGTTACAACTTTTTGCGCTGCTCTTTTCTTTCTTGCTTCAACGAGACTTGCAACCAAGGCGGTCATATCACCTTCTTCATCTACAGTCACCAAATCCCAACTTCTCTTTAGTTCATCTTCCCAAGAATAACCACCACTTACACCTTGTAGTTTATCATTGGATATCTTCTTTTTTTTAGACTTTCGATCAGGATGAGACCTGTTAGATGACTTTACCTTATCATCATCGTCATCTGCTTCATTTTGTCTTTTTGGTTGTTCATCAAAGTTTGAACGTTTTGAATAATCGTTTACCCTAACCGTATTTTGATCTTTATTTTTCTTTTTAATGATACCATCTTCATCGTCTTCATCATGGGTGAAATGAACACCTTTTTTAAGTTTCCTATTGTGAGTTGAATTTACCAGAACATTTTCATTATCGTCATTATCAGAATCTGATCTAACAGTTGGACTCATCGCTCCTAAAATGTTTTACTTTAACTTAATATACTGCACAATATTACTTCGATCTTTCTCTAAAATAAATTGAAATAATTGAGTGTAGTTCTGAATATGACACTATGGGGATATGGTATGATATGGTATGGTATGATATAATCGGAAGTAGGAAGAGAGACAGAAAAACCACTGATTATTGAATGCTAGGAGGTCAACCAGAAACTAACTGGCTAAAGAAGTGCTATACCAATAGATTTTTAATCCTACAATACAGAACAATTATCTTTAAGTGAGAAGATCAATCAAACTTTCAATCAATTTATTCCTCTAGTGAGTTGAAGTACTTGAATAAATCAGTTTAAATTAGCTGAAGCTTCTTTACGTTTCGCCAATTTCGAAATGGTTTAAAAACCTAAGAAGTAAGTTACCCTGCCAACCAAGTAACTATCACGTGCAAGTAGCTTTCTTACGGATCTGTCTGTATATGTTTGCTATTCTCCTTCTCCTTCTTCGGATGGAGAAATCACAATTGGCGAAATCAATGGTACCAAGACCATACAACACACACGCACACAAGTAAATGGATAATCAAGACAAGAAGACTACAACTTTGTTTGCAACATTTAACACAATATTTCAACAATAAATTGCCCTTTTCCAAAAATTTAATGATTCAACGAGTACATCAACTCGCGTAATTATGAATTAATCAACTATTCTTGTCTTATTTTCCCATTTGAAAAGTAAATACATGTTAGGTATCCGCTGCGGTACATATTGGAATTAAGTCCCTATTATCATTTCCAATGGCCTTTGAATCTACAAGTTTTGTTTTCATCTTAATATTCTCTATTCTAGTTATCAGAAAACTTTGTGAGGGAAGGGACTATCTCTTCTAAATTCTGTCTGTTACTCTTCTATAGTTACCATACCATTTACTTGTTGTGACTATAGGTATATATATAGATATGTTTCACGTGATCAGATACTCTTAGCTTGGCTCCCCCATCCAAAACCCGAGCCGAGAACCGACCGAGCCGAGAGATTTTTCAAAAAAATTGTTATGTTTCTGTATTGTTTCAACATAGTTTAATACGAATGGATTGTAAGATCTATGACACCAGATAATAAGTGTTATTATCGTTCATACTTATAAAGAATAATAGTAATTACTATTTGAAACAATTGTATAGTATTGTATATTATTTACTTACTTTGTACATTAGAAGAAGAAAATATAGAACTCTTTATTAATAAATATACTTATTAACAGTACTAATCTACCACCAAATAGACGAATAGAATAAATACCATAACAGCATTTACTCGACGTACAATTATTAGATATCTACAACTAAAGAATTCACAACAAAGAATACATTTCTTTCAAGTCACATGATTTAGTTTTTCCTTTAAATATTAATAAACCACCTTTAATTGTGGTGGCATAAAACATTGATATAGACTACAGACAAACAGACAATAACCAATAATTTTAAATTTAGTCTAATTCGCTTCTCTTCAATTCAATTTCCCAAGGTTTCTCGTAAACTATTCTTTACCAAAGCGAACACCCAGCGTAGATGCGTCAATTACAGAATGTTTAACTGGTTAACATCTTTCTCGCTCTTTTAGTTTCCCTTTTTATGCGATGAGATGAGATGAGATGAGATGAGATCAAGGGATCTCTTAGATTTTTTTTTTAGTTTTTCACTTCGAATTGGTTGGCTCATTTCAATTGAGTAGAATGAATCGGATAATAATGCATTTATCTACATTTTCATTCTATGCAACTATAATTTTATGTTGTAGAAATATTTGTAGAATTAATTTGCAACATTGTGTGGTTTGTATCACAAGAGACTGGGAAATTGGATACAGAGTCTTTATTTTATTTTTAGAAAGTAAGTGATACCACTAAACTATACACATACCCAATAGCGTTGTCATAGTCATTATTGTGATCGATTGATCTGTGTATGCATATATATATATTAAAATGAAGTTTATTGTCGAATTTGCATACTGATAATGGTCTTATTCGGTCGAGAAGTTATATTAGATGGCTAATACTCACGATACTTCTTTAGTTAATTACTTGAACCATATTAATGCTAAAAACAAAACTTTTTAAAATGTGATTCCTGATAGTAGACGTCGAGGTTACGATGAGTTAGAAATGTAATATATATATATAACAAAATTGTCAATCGATTTATTCTTATTAATACTATCTCTTACACATCCTCTTTTTATTTTAATACCTTTTTATATTATTGTATTGTAAATATCAAAATATATCAATATATCAATATATCAAGACCTAATCAATTGAGATGTCTGAAAATAGTAGCATTGATTTGGAGAAAAAACAGAATCTAGACGATTCACAGGTTTCTGTATCTTCTCATTCAACAGATTCTAAATCACATACTGATCATTCAACATCTGAACAAAATATTGATGTCGCATATAACTTTTGAAAAAAAATGGTATACAAGAAGACACTGAAATCATTAAAACTGTCAAACCAACTACTCAAACTTTATTGAATGGTACTTCTGATTTATCTCCAAAGACTTTAAGAAAATTAGATTTCGTTATCTTACCTTTCTTATGTTGCATTTATTTTTTAATGTTCTTCGATAAGGTTTTATTAAATTATGCTGCAGCAATGGGTATTAAAAAGAACCTAAAAGACAATGAATTTTCTGATTTAAATACTATATTTGGTGCAGGTTATATCTTCATGATGCCTTTCACTTCCTATTTCTTTCAAAGATTTCCTTTATCAAAAATTTTAGGAACTTTTATATTCCTTTGGGGTATAGTTTTAGCCTGTCATTCTGCTTGTAAAACCTATGCTTCTTTAATGGTTGTTCGAGTTTTGCTAGGTATGTTTGAATCTTCAAGTGCCGCTGGCTGTATTGCAATTAGTGGTATGTATTACACTAAATCTGAACAAAGTAAAAGAATTGGGTTTTGGTGTATTCAGGCTGGTACTGGTTATATCGTCGGTGGTTTAGTTTCATTCGGATTTCAGCATTATCATGGTACAAAATTCGAATCATGGCAAATTATGTTCCTAGTCGTCGGTCTTGTTACTATAGCATTTGGTGCATTGACGTTTGCATTATTACCAGATAATACTACTAATGCTTGGTTTTTATCACAAGAAGAAAAAGTCGAAGTCATCGAACATATTAGAGATAATCAAACTGGTTTGGAAAATAAAGCATTCAAATGGGAACAAATTAGAGAACTATTCTTTGAAGATAAATTAACATGGTTAATGCTTTTGTTCACAGGTTGTTCTCAAATATCAACTGGTGCTATCGGTTCATTTTCTGTCACAATTACCGGTACTTTTGGTTTTGATAGTTATGACACCGCCCTTCTACAAATTCCAATTGGTGTTTTGGTTATAATAATTATCTTCATAACCACTCAAATGTTGGCATACTGGGGTCAATATACTTTAATTACGACTTCAATGTTTATCCCATCTGTCATTGGTTGTATCGTATTGATTAGTTTACCATTGTCTCATAAGGTAGGTAATTTATTGGCATTGTACTTGGTTTATAGTGGTTCATGCCCTATTACTAACATTTACATTTGGAATTCTTGGAATACTTCAGGATATTCTAAAAGAATATTCAGGAATGCTGCTACATTAATTGTTTACAATGTGTGTACCATCGTGGCTCCACAAATGTTTAGAGAATCTTCTGCGCCAAGATATATCCCAGCAAAAATTGCATTGCTTGTAACCCAATGTGTATGTATACCATTGCAATTATACATTGGTTACTTAAGTAAGAAAGAAAATGAAAAAAGAGATAAAGAACAAGAAGGAAAAGAACCTGAAAGATATGAGTTTTTAGATTTAACTGATATTCAAAATAGAAATTTCAGATACATGTATTAATATAATTCAAAATCAAAAGCCAACAAATTTTTAACTATTGTATAGTATCATATATATAATTAATAGTAATAGTAATAATATAGATAGAAGAATATCCAACTTAGAAAAAATTCTTATTAACTGAAAGTTCACAAACTAAAAGAAAGAATATATTTTGCAATAATTAAATAATATATTATGATTAAATTAATGATATCTATAAATAAGTTACAGAGGCCAGAAGGTCCTCTAAAGACCTTGGGAACATGAAATAGGTTTCTAATGTTACAACTAAGTGAAGTAGATGAAAATTGTAAAAATGATATCACCATTATGATGTGAATGATATATATGCCTAATTAAAAATCCTTCAATTTTTACTCTGCGGAGCACTAATTTTTGGACTTGATGAAGTTGATGCTAATGGAGATTTAGAGCTACTCTTTCTTTTCGTTAGTTTGGGAGTCTGTTTAACGAGTACACTGTCGGTCATCCTACTTTGGCCCTGTTTCCAGTTATCAAAATCAATCAAACCTTGCATGCAACCCCATTCAGTGATTTTTTTGCTTAACCAATGTAGATTCACTGGTTTCGTCAAGTAATCATTACAACCGGATATCAGTGCTTCTCTTTTATCTGTTAAGGAGTTTGAAGCAGTAAACGCAACTATAATAACCGGTGCTCCTGTAGAATTTTTGTCTATTTTTTTGGTATCCTCTAAATTAGTTGTTGACGTAGTGGATGAAGCCTTTTGAATACCTATACCTTTGTGTTTTTCATACTCTCTGATTTCCTTGGCCGCATCGATACCAGATAATACAGGCAACTGCAAATCCATAAAAATTAGATGTAACCCCCCTTCTTTCCATTTATCTACTGCTTCTCTTCCATTCTTGGCAACCTTATAGGATATTTTATGTTTCCTTAAAAATGAAGCTAAAATGGTTTGGTTAATTACATTATCTTCAACAATCAGAACATTAATCTTTGGAAAGACCTTTTCACCAGTAATCTTGAATTCTGGATGTGAAACTATGGGTACCGAAGCATCCTGGAAAGCGCTTGAGTAATTGCTTGAAGTTGACTTAGCAATCATGGCTGATGAACTTATTATAGGATTACTGTTATCATTATTATGAATCGTATTGGAATTAGTATTGGTGCTTGAGTTACTAATACTCTCTCTCGGTTCAACACCGCCATCACTTATTCCTGAATCATTTGTAGAAGCGGTTCCTTCCTGTGTAGATAACATAATTTCATCATTTGTTTTGTTGACAAATGATGAAATAGTTGAAGAGGAGCCTCCACCTGTTTTGTTCCGTAGATTATTTTCTTCATTAAAGTTTTTGGGCAATAATAAAATAGCTTGTTTTGGAGAATCTACATTTTTCTCACTCCCCAAATCTTCGGAAACCTTTCTTAATTGTTCTTCATTGGTTATCAGTTTGAACTTTTTTTCTTTTCCACTCAGACTTTGTGTAACAGAATCACAACTTCCAAACCGACTGCCATCTTTAATCAAACCTTCTTCGCCCTTAAAACCTTCAGTTTTTTCATTTTCCATCAGGTTTTCTCCATAATATGGAGATCTTAACATTTGTTCTGTTATCTCGTCATTAGTTGGTACATAATCATTGAAATCGAAAGATACTGTAGGGGAAATCTCATTATTTTCATTAGTTGGTATACCACTAGAGAAGATAAGAAGAGCTTCAGAAACTTTCTGTGCACCCAACGAACCGTAGAGTTGTAAGTAAATATTTTTTATTAATTCATCCGGTTCGAATGTTATCCTTACATTAGAATCATTGACACGGATAGAGGTCCATTTTAGATCCAGATTATTGAAATCAAGATAATTTGTAGATTGGCTTGTGTTTATGGGCGAGAGTCTCCCTAAAGTTGGCGTTGGTGCCAAATATTGTAAATTTATATTTGAAGAAGAATGGAAAATTAATGGCGGGGAAGTTGAATTAATGCTATGTGATTCATTTTTGATATTATTTGATTCTGCTTGTCTTAGGCTTTGCAGACTAACGCTCGACCTGTTCTTCGAAGAGTTTTCATAATGTAAACCATTATGGGAATCCATTCTTGATAGTGGTGCTTCCATATAGAAATGTAAACCTGGCGAAACTTTTTTCCTCTCGGTATGAATTCGTTGATTACTTTCAATTGAAAGCAATGATGTGTTTGCATTGTTATTGATATTGTTATTGTTAGTAACTTTGCTATTTTTAATTGGTAAATAAAATCCAATTGTAATTGAGCAAGTATCATTTTCTCTTGACCATCTTGAATTATTTAATTTAGTTAAAAGTTTTGTTTTCAAATCATCTATAGTATCTGATTCTGTAAACTCTATGGCAGTAGCTTGTCCTTTAGAATTTCCCAATCTTTCGTTATCGTCGATTTTAACCCAAATCTTCCAATCCAAAGCTACGTTCAAAGCCAAATTACCTCCTCTTGGCAATGGGGATAATGCTTTCCGCCTTTCAGATAATTCAAACATATAAAAGATAAAAACTACTTTTCAAAGAACAAAAGAGAAGACTTTGGGAGGGATACAGTCAATTTCAAAATAGTATAGTGATATTAAATGCTTCGTATGTTGTTCACCCAAAGAGAAAAAAGGAAATAAACCGGTCAACAGTTGTAACCCTTCTCTGTAAAGATAATTAAATCAAAGTATGTATATGCTAAATTTGATACACCCCCCTTACCAAAATTTCTGCTATAAATCTCTTGGAAATTTTCAAACTCAATCTTAAATGTGATCCAAATTGTTATATCTATTCCCTTCCTTATCTTGATTATATTTACTTTGATGCTTATTAGTTATAATTATTTTGGCCTATTTCTATAGTAATCGAATTTTTTATCAATAATACTAAAGAATTATCCTGGAAAAAAAAATATAATAAAATAAAATAAAACAAAAGAATAAAACCAACCACTAACAATCAAGGAAATAAAAGTAGCTTCTCTACCTGTGGTTGTCAATTTGTCTATTTAGAATTGAATACACCAAATATTTATTTAACCTCTACTTCTTAAATATATATCTTTCTATTAGTTTCAATAGTTCCTTGGATACTTTTGCCAAAATTCAATATAATCCTGGAAAGAAAATAGGCAAATAAAAAAAAAAGAGAACAGGAAACTGAACTAAAACTAAAACTAAAACTAAAACTAAAACCACCTCGCTCTCTCTTATATCTTCAACAGCAACCTTTCACCACTCCTTCTTCCAGTCAAGATGAACCTTTAAAAGTCTTGTAATAGTTTCGAAAGTCTTTAAAAAGTTTCAATGATTTTTTAATCAACTTTTCCACTTTTTCCATCGAATGTGATGATGTGATTATTAACAAGAGGTGAAATATTCAAAAAAATGTTGTTTCTTTGACTTAATCAATTCGAATTGATGATCTAAGAAGGTTAGATGTGATTGTTTAAGGTCTTTTTATGAGGTGAAGAGATGCATTAGACTTTATGTTTAGAGGATGGATCGATAGATTTGTCAATTTATAGACGTTCGATGGAGTTATCTTTGAAATTTGTTGCTTTAGTGTGAGTGTTTTAGGCAGGGTTTTTTTGGTCAAGTGATAATAAATAAATATATAAATAAATAAATAAGTATATATATAACAACGGTTAGGGGATTTAAAATGTTATCTGTTGAGGATAAAGGTAGGTATTTATTGCAATATTTATTAGATTGTAGAGGTATCTGTCATGAGAATGCATTGTTATTGGTTTTGATCAAATTGGATAAGGATTCCGTTGATGAGGAAGGGTCTCCAAATAGAACGTTTGAAGATTATTTGAAATATTTGCAAGATATTGTTGACGAGATTAATGTTAAATTAAATAGATTGAATTATAAAATTGTAAGGATCAACCATCCCAGTGGTGCCCGTGTCATCAGTCGGTATACTAAAAGTTATCTGAGGGATCATGAACAAGATTTTGGATCGTTTTTTAATCTACAAGACCCTGCTACCAGTGCCATTACTGCAAATAATAATGATCAAAATGTGTCTATCGAATTGCCTCAGAGTAGTAGATATTATGTTTATATCAATCTAGAATCGAACGAAGAGACAAAATTGGCCACTAGATTCTCGTTAAAGGAAATAGAGTTCATCAAATGGGCAATTCAGGAATTTATGATAAATGGATCGACTATCGAAACTACAAATAGAATACCTTCTTCGATAATCGTTAAGGAAATTAACAGAATTCTAAAAGAAGTGTCTACAGATGAGAGTCCCCAGTTTTGGAATTCATATTGCACGTTCACAAAGGGATCTCTTAACTTAAGTAAATTCAGAGATCTAACCGCTTCTGAAACAGATGACCTTCTTATACGGCTATGTCGATACAAATGGTTCTATCGAACCGATGAAGGTACCTTTGGAATGGATCTTCGTTGCATTACAGAATTGGAACAATACCTAATAGAGACATTTGAATTCAAAACATGTACTGTCTGTAAACATATCGTGTTGCAAGGAGTTCTTTGTAGGGATGCCCAAACTGATGAAAACTGTAGTATGTGGCATGTCGATTGTTTCCAACACTATATCACTCATAGCAGGAAGAGTTGCAGCAACTGTGAATCGGATTTAATGACACAAGGTGTCTATGTGATTTAGTACATGCACCAATATATATATATATATATACATAGAGATTTTTCTTTTAATGTTTTTTTTTAAAAAATGCATTTCAAGTATACAATTATTATATAATTCTAAGCATACATCTGACGTATTATGAGATTGCAGTGTACTCTTCTTAACCGGTTTTCCTTTTTTTTTTACTTTGTTTTTGTTCAACAAGTATTGTCGTTTGGTTAGTTCCCTCTATTTACATGGATCGTAGATTACACACAAAGCACTATTTCATTTTCTCACACCACCTTTCTTCTCCAAGAAATCCTTAGCTTCATTAATCTTAGTGGCCAGATAAGGAGAACCACCTTTATCAGGATGGTTCGCCAACATTATTCTCCTATGAACCTCTTTTAGTTTTTTCTTTGTTAAATTACTCTCCTTCAGATTCAAAATCTGTAATGCTTCTTTCTGATTCATCTTTGGATCGAATCCACCTTTCAAGAAAGTAGAAGCAGCATTGCCCCCACTTTTACCGAAAGCCTTGTAGGCCCCAGCAAAGGCATACAAAGTGAAAAATCCACCTATACTAGTCAGAACTGGATGATCACCCATGTATTGAATAGCATTATCAAAATACAGATCCATTCCACTCTTTGTTGACCCTACCTGTTGAGAACCCATATCCAAACTGACAGTAGCTTCGTTATTCATCAACTTCGAGTTATCCTGACCAGGGATAGGCAATTGAGGAATTTCGAAAGCACCATTCCCAGAATTATCACTAGCAGACATCCTTAAATTAGTCGTGTATTTCTTTATATCTTATTCTATAATAAAGTAAAGTTCTGTTATCTCAGCTGTCCCTTCTCTTAAGATAAAGAAACAATGGCACCACAGTCACACTAACAGTTGAAAGTTTGTGAACCCAGAACCAAGTAATCAGTATCCAAAAAAAAAAAAATGCAAAACAAATAAACAGAGAGTTAACCTTATAGAACCACCACTGTTCGTCAGCTTTCCATTCTTTTGTATAGAATTAGAGAGAGGTCTTCAATCAGATCAGACACTTTCTAATCTTTTATTCCAATTTCTTAAAAATTTTTCAATGCTCTGTGCTGTGGGAAGGTCCAAATGTCCAAAATTTTGAAAAATTGATCGAACAAGAACTAAACCAGTTGCAGTTGATGTATAAAAGATGTGGTGATGAGCAGAGTTAGGAAGTGATGGGATGGGTTTACGATTATATTTTGGGATGGTGGGGGAACCAGCAAGTGGTGGTTGCATTTTGGTGTGGGAGTGGCTATTTAGTTTGTGAACGATACAAGAGTTTATTACGATAGTTTGGTGAAATTTTGTCAAATTTGGTGCTAAGATACAGACTCAGATACAGCTAGAAAGATATGAGAATTTATCAGTGTCACTTTTGTTCGTCACCAGTTTATCCTGGTCACGGTATTATGTTTGTTAGGAATGATGCTAAAGAGTTTAGGTTCTGTCGTTCCAAATGTCACAAGAACTTCAAGCAACGTCGTAACCCACGTAAGTTGAGATGGACCAAGGCCTTCAGGAAGGCTGCTGGTAAGGAACTAGCAGTTGATTCAACTTTGACCTTTGCCCAAAGAAGAAATGTTCCTGTCAGATACAACAGGGAATTGGTGGCTACTACATTAAAGGCTATGTCTAGAATAGAAGAGATCAGATTGAAACGTGAAAGAGCTTTCTATAAGAACAGAATGAAGGGCAATAAGGAAAGAGACTTCTTGAGAGACAAGAAGTTGGTGGAATCAAACCCTGAACTGTTGAGAATGAGAGAAGTAGAGATCGCAAATAGACTAGCCAAAGAACAAGAAGAAGAAGAAGATCTAGAGGAAGAGGAAGAAGATATGGAAATCGATTCTGAGGAAGAAGAAGAAGAACAATTGGAGAAACAAAAGATTTTGTTAAAGAACAAAAAGAGAAACTCCAAGAAGATTGCATTTTGAAGAATAATTGATTAATCCCCTTCTGATAGACATATATGGTACGCCCATTTTTTCTGATTTTTTGTATACATTTCCTAAACTTTGTAACATATAAAATTTTATAATTACTACTTTTATTATTATTATTATTATATCATCATCATAACTACACAATCTATTATACTATAAATGTTAAATTCCAAGAAACTCTTTCCCTAGGTCTGAACTCAAAAATTCCTTTAAAATCGTCAATTCTTGCAAACTAATCCTTTTAATATCTAGAACCTCAGTGCAACAGACCCCATTATTCCATAATCCAATTCGAATATCAATTGGATCACCCAATTGAGGTGCCATTCCCATGTCGCTGTTCTTGAATCCATCACCAAAGACTTCTTGAAACAAGCTATCATCTATCATTAAACTAACAGTTTTAAGCTCATCACAGCCATCCGTAGAATCCCGTTTTCTATAATCTGTCAAGTCCTGTACGACCAATTGGGATCTACGACCCTTACGATCTGGTTCACAATACCGTATGTCCACTAGTTGCACAAACATTCGAATCCTCATCGACTCATCCTCATTATTGCTGCTATTGTTATCGGATTGATTAATATTATTGATGAGATCTGTTAAATCAGAGACATTCAACAAAATCTTGCTCATAGAGACCAATCCAGGTCATGTATTAAATTACTGATCTTTACAATAAATGTATTTAATAATGAACCTGTTAACGTTTTGTTCAATGCAACTTTTATAAATTGTTGTTAGTGAAATCTGATTTCAAGAACAATTAGTTAAAATCAGAATTTAAGTGTCCATACGTTGTGGGGATTCAAAATGAGAAAAAGTGAGCTTTTGGAGTAGTTTAGAATCTGGATGACAAATGTTCTACACATATAAAATATATGTATATTATATAGATGTTGTATGGCTGGGTATAACATCAACTTGTATTTATTATGGGTTGTTTAACTAGATAAACAGGTAAAAACCAAAATATTATGAGGATGGAAAAAAAAACAATTCGACAACTGCAGGACTCGAACCTGCGCGGGCAGAGCCCAAAAGATTTCTAATCTTTCGCCTTAACCACTCGGCCAAGTTGCCACTTTAATTATTGTGAATTTTATTATCCTAAAACGGTGGCACCACCTAATATCAGTGGAATTTTTCTTTTACTACTTTTTCCTCATTTACAAAATATCAATCAGCTTATCTATTAAAGTACGTTCATCTGCATCGATAATTTTTATTATCCCCTATGGATGGTTTGTAGATATCGAGGACCAATCGAAACAATTGAATTGGGGAGATTTCATATTGTATTTGTCTTGAAGATCTATAAAAGATATGAAAGTTGGCATAATCCCTTACCAAAAGGATGCTGATTTTGTTTATAAAGATTCAACAATTAATGAATCCAAACCATCTTTGCCGATATTGCATGAAACTCATGGTTACATTTATGATGACAGGAATCTAAGATTTTTGAAACCAGAAGATATACCGTTGAATAAGCGTAATTTTATTTACAGACCTTGTTCTGCGAATCCATTGTTTACAGAATTAGGTTATGCATGTACTGAATATCCCTTTGATCATCCAGGTATGAATATGATGGATCGATCTGATGGTATCTCATTGATTGAAGGTTCAAATAATATTATCTGTGTGAAAGATTCATTAGGTTGGAGAACTAGCAGGTGCGATGTGTGCATTAAAGAAGGATCTTGTTATTGGGAGGTAGAAGTTATGAAAGGTGGGTTACCTTCTATTGATGATGATTCAAACATGACTTTACAAAGGAAGAAAGAACTATTCAATACAACACCTCACTTGAGAATTGGTATTTCGAGACGTGAAGCGACTTTGGAATCACCAGTAGGGTTTGATTCTTATGGTTACAGTATTAGAGATATATCGTTGGAGTCCATCCATGATGGTAAGATTTCTCAAGTACTATCATCAACAGAATCTTTGAAGAAAGGCGATCGAATGGGGTTTCTATTGACCTTACCATCATTTGAAGAACAGGTGAAACAAGCGAAAGAATATACTCAAAGAAGAATCGATGCATTGATAAGTCATTCAAACGATAAGAAATCTAACGATATCAATGGAGGGAATTCCAATGAAGAATCTACTTATTACAAGAAAAAGACTAAGTTTGTTCCATCACATAACGATTTTATAAAAGAGTTATTAGAAGATATCGATTTCAACAATGTAATCAGAGATAAGATTCCAATTAGATATAAAAATCAATTATTCTTCGAATCTACAGACTATATCAAAACAACAAAACCAGAGTATTACACATTGGACAAACGAGAAAGAGAAGACTACTACACATTGAAGGGGTCATCATTAGGTGTATATCTTAATGGTAAATACCTTGGCGATGCATTTAAAGATATCAAACCATTCCTTCCACCATTTAGTGAATTACAATACAACGAAAAGTTCTATTTTGGGTATTGGAAGAATGGTGAAATAATTGAAGATAATGAAAAGGATTATAACGAGAATACCAGTAGCAATACAAACAATAGTAATAACAGAAACAACATCAACAATGACAATGGAAACAATAATATCAATACCAATACCCAAAAGAAAGGCTTAATATTGAGAAATAAATATGTTAATAATAACCAACTTGGATATTATCCAACTATTAGTTGTTTCAATGGTGGGACAGCAAAAATAATAACAGAAAAAGATGAATGTAAATATTTTGATGAAATAAGTAAAGCCAAACAAAATGAATCAATTAAATCATTAAATTCATTGTACATGGAACAAATTGCTGAAGATATCGTTTGGGATATAATCGATGAGATAGAAGAAGAATCGAATATTATCAACAAAAAATGATGTTTAAGAACGGTTAAATTTTAGATTAAGAAAGATCGAGGTAGTTAGATCAATTAGCAAGTCATGTATAGAATATAGAATAGAGACACCAATACTTTATACCATTCATTAAACATCCATTCCATTGCATAAGTCTGCCAATGTCATCATCGATGAGGCATCACGGCTTACGATGCCCTTCGTATTCTAACAAACGCATCAAAATTGCATTAATTAAAGGGCTTATTTCCAATATCATAATGGTAATAAAGCAGGAGATGGATGAGGATTCAATCGAAGTTGTTATAGTTATAAGCAAGGTTTGATCCATCTATTGATTAGTTTATAAAAGTAATACCAAGCTCATATTAAGATTTTGTGTATTTTATTTTATTTAATTTTGCCGTTCGAAGGATTATTTGCTAATATCATTTAGGAAAAAGGATATAGAGATATAATAAGAATATATATATATATATATAATACAAAGTATAAGGCAAAATTTACAAGTGTGGGATATTAGAGAGCATGAACGAGACTACTACTTCTAATAACCCTGGATATATGTTAGAGATCATTGTTTCTGATCCCCAGAAACATAGCGGTGGTGATGGTACTAGCTCATCTTCATCATCTGGATCATCTTATGTTACCTATCAGGTCTCTACCAAGACTGATAATCCATCATATATTAAGAACCATTCTGGAAATACAGACACCACTGCAGCAGCCACTAATAGTATTATAGTTGTTCATAGACGTTATAGTGACTTACAATTACTTTATAACATACTATTAAATGAATATCCTACATGCATTATTCCACCGTTGCCAGATAAGAAAGTATTGCAATATATAGCAGGAGATCGATTCAGTACAAGTTTCACTCAAAAGAGATGTCATAGTTTACAAAATTTCTTACGTAGGGTGGCCCAACACCCCTAAATTAAGAGAGTCTAGTGCGTTAGAGATGTTCTTGGTTAGTCCAGATTGGGATGTCTACCGTAAGAGTGTTAGTGGTAATTTGAGCACCCCAAGGGAATACTACAAGAGAAGAGGTAACTGATGTGATAATGAATGCATTTAAGAGCGTGCATACGCAGAATGAAGAGTTTTCCAAGATCAAAGAGAAGAGTGAGAAATTAGACACACATGTTAATAAACTGGATAAAACATTTGGCAAACTTGTTAAGAAACAAGAAACAGTAGGCGAAGATTTCAATAAGATTGGATACAATTTACAAGATATCCAAGAATTATTGATTAACGTGAATAGCCAGCAATTGAGCGACTCATTGAAAACATTTGGGGATGGGTTGATCGAAATATCATATGGTATGAATGATCTAAATAAATATTTGGAATACGAGTATATAGTTGATCTAAAGGACTTGGAACATTACATCCGGGAATTGAAGCAGTTGGTCAAACAAAAGGAACAAAAACAGATTGATTACGAAGAATTGACGGAGTACCTAAACAAATCAGTCAATGAGAAGAACAACTTAATATCAGGGTATGGTAACAATAATTACATTACGAACAAGATTGAAGAGATAGCTGGTATCAACCAGGAATCTTCGAGGAGAGACAAGATCGATAAACTGGACAAAAAAATCCAAGCCTTGACCATTGAAGTGGAAAACTCCAATGAAGTATATAGAGTATTTGAGCAAGAAACGTTAAAAGAGGTGGAACTATTTGAGAAACTAAAGAACCAAGAATTGATAAATTCATTAAGTGGGCTAGCTGATAAAAATATCGAATTCTACGAAAAAATGTTAAAAGTATGGACACAGATAGATGACCAATTGAGTTCAAATACAACCACAGAACCGTCCAGTCGATGAATCTCCTTTATGTTTTAATCTATTTTTATGTCTTTTTTTTTTCCACCTTTTACCTTCTTCCCTAGCCTACCCACTGAATACAATGACAAACAAGACAGGGTCTTTTGCACTCCTCCTGTCCGTACTCCTGCTCTTTCTCGACCCAGGATCTAGGACCCAAGACCCAAGGTCCAAGACCCAACCAAGATCCTGGACCTTGGACCTCCGAGTGCTAACACATCACGGAGCACAGGAACAACCACGACCACAACCACAACCACAACTACAACCTCTTTGCAAAGATAACTTATGTACCAAGTATATAACGAATACAGAACCTAGAACAACGAAACAAAGGCATCATCATATCATATCCTATCATGTCATTTCATGAATCAATCCACAGCAATCCAGAAGTTTGGCATCCAGCTGAACAGAATCGAAGAGAACAACCTTTCCAATTCCAATTCCAATTCCAGTTCCAAGTGCAAGTGCAAGTGCAAGATCAAGATGAAGCAAGAGCAGACCCTACCCATTGTATAGGTAGGGTTATAGACGTAATACAACGGCAAATATGCCACCATTCCATGCCATCCTCTGTCACTAGAAGACTGCTCTTCTTGTAGCAACCACTGGCCAAAACGTTGTAACCTTTTGCCTCTTTTGTTCTGTTCTGTTCTGTTCTGTTGAGGTGGTCGAAGGTTCGAGAAGAAAAAAGTTTCACCTCTCTCTCTACCACGAAACGATACGAAACGAAACGAAACAAATTGTTGTTGTAACGTGTTTGAAAATGTTAAAGCTGAATCGAGCATAGTTTGGGATTAGAAACTGATTGATATATATAGTTTAACTGATTTAGGTTATATATATGTGATATTTGAACATTTTTAAAGTTTTGTAGTTGGACTTTTCAGTTTTCAGTTTTCTTTCGAAGTTAGGTTTAGAATTCTTCAATATACATCTACATAAAGGTAACACGTATATCTACATATATACACTATTATAGTTATATCTTTTACTAGTGATAATGTATTCAAAATCTAGTAAATGGCTATTGCCATTTGTTACATTACTATACGTTTTGTTAGTTATTGGTTTACCATTTGGTGGTAGTTCTGGTAAGTTTAACAAGAGTATATTAGTTAGAGGTGACGATTCTGATAATTATGGTACTGTTATCGGTATCGATTTGGGTACCACTTATTCTTGTGTTGCTGTTATGAAAAATGGTAAGACTGAAATTCTAGCAAACGAACAAGGTAATAGAATCACTCCTTCTTACGTTGCATTCACTGATGATGAAAGATTGATCGGTGATGCTGCTAAGAATCAAGTTGCTTCTAACCCAAAGAACACTGTCTTTGATATCAAGAGATTGATCGGTTTGAAGTTCAACGACAGATCTGTCCAAAAGGATATGAAACATTTACCATTCAACATCGTTAACCAAAACGGTAAACCTGTTGTCTCTGTCAAGGTCAAAGGTGAAGACACTCTCTTCACTCCAGAAGAAATCTCTGGTATGATCTTGGGTAAGATGAAAAAAATTGCTGAAGATTATTTAGGTAAAAAAGTCACTCATGCTGTCGTTACTGTCCCAGCTTATTTCAACGATGCTCAAAGACAAGCCACTAAAGATGCAGGTACCATTGCTGGTTTGAACGTTTTGAGAATTGTTAATGAACCAACTGCTGCTGCAATTGCTTACGGTTTGGACAAATCAAATGAAGAAAGACAAATTGTAGTTTACGATTTAGGTGGTGGTACTTTCGATGTCTCCTTGTTGTCTATTGAAAATGGTGTTTTCGAAGTCCAAGCTACTGCTGGTGATACTCATTTGGGTGGTGAAGATTTCGATTACAAGATCGTTCGTCAATTGATCAAGTCTTTCAAGAAGAAACATGGTATCGATGTATCCGATAATGATAAAGCTTTGGCTAAATTGAAGAGAGAAGCTGAAAAGGCTAAACGTGCCTTATCTTCTCAAATGTCCACTAGAATTGAAATCGACTCCTTCGTCGATGGTATCGATTTGAGTGAAACTTTGACTAGAGCTAAATTCGAAGAAATGAATTTGGACTTGTTCAAGAAGACTTTGAAACCTGTCGAAAAAGTTTTGAAAGATTCTGGTCTAGATAAGAAGGATATTGATGATATTGTCTTGGTCGGTGGTTCCACTAGAATTCCAAAGGTCCAAGAATTATTGGAAAAATTCTTCGATGGTAAGAAGGCTTCCAAGGGTATCAACCCTGATGAAGCTGTTGCTTACGGTGCTGCTGTCCAAGCCGGTGTTTTGTCCGGTGAAGAAGGTGTTGAAGACATCGTCTTATTGGATGTTAACGCTTTGACTTTAGGTATCGAAACCGCTGGTGGTGTCATGACCCCATTGATCAAGAGAAATACCGCTATCCCAACTAAGAAATCTCAAATCTTCTCTACTGCTGCCGACAACCAACCAACTGTCACCATCCAAATCTTCGAAGGTGAAAGAGCTATGGTCAAGGACAACAACTTGTTGGGTAGATTCGAATTGACTGGTATCCCACCTGCCCCAAGAGGTATTCCACAAATTGAAGTCACTTTTGCTCTAGATGCTAATGGTATCTTGCAAGTTACTGCTACTGATAAGGGTACTGGTAAGTCCGAATCTGTTACCATCTCTAACGATGCTGGTAGATTATCTAAGGATGACATCGAAAGAATGGTTGAAGATGCTGAAAAATACGCTTCTGAAGATGAAATGATTAAAGCTAAGATTGAATCCAGAAACAAATTAGAAAACTACGCCCACAGTTTGAAGAACCAAGTTAAAGGTGACTTGGCCACTGTTTTGGATGAAGATGATAAGGAAACTTTGTTAGATGCTGTCAATGATGTTTTGGACTGGTTGGATGACAACTTTGACACCGCCATGGCTGAAGAATTCGATGAAAAATACGAATCTTTATCTGAAGTTGCATACCCAATCACCTCTAAATTATACGGTAATGCCGGTGGTGCCAACGCCGCTCATGATTCTGCATATGATGATGATTTCGAAGATGAGGATGATGATGGTGATTACTTCGAACATGACGAATTGTAATCATTCTCATGGTTGAACTCTCTTTATATCCATCTTTATCTTTTTTATAATTTTCTCACATTGCTTTCCAAAAAGTTTATCAATATAGATTGTCAGTAAATATGAAGTAGTATATATATATATTTACGCACGTATATCTTATAACGTTTATATCTAAGAATATATATGTATACATATGTAATATGAAAAAAAAAACACTAGTTAACGGATCATTTCAACGCTGCAGTGCTCATTAATCTCAATTTGACATTACAAAGACCAGCTCGTAATCAACGTCTTGTTCTATTTCAGATAACGTTATTACATCACAACTTCGAAGCTCAACATAACGGGACCTAGGCAATTTTTCTCCATTCAATACAGTTCCGTTAGATGAGTCCAAATCTATAATATACAACCTGAGCTGCCCATCAACTTCTCTGAACTGTAATACACAATGCTGTTTTGAACAAGTCTCTTCAGGAATTCCAATATCTGCCAAAACTATCTCTTCTTCTCTATCATCATCATCTTCTTTTGCTTCTGGCCTTGCATCCACTGCCTTTTGATTTTTCCCCATATCACGTCCAATTAGAAAAGAACTCTTCTCAGTCAAATCAAACTCTCTAATAGGATCACGAACACCTTTTCTATACATAACCAGCTGGTACAGATTTCTCTCCCTCATTGGAATGCGATGTTTCTTCCAATATGTCTCGATGGCTATCTTATCATCGGGCTCTGCATACTTCAATTGTATACCTCTATCACCACAAGCATCCAGTTCCAGCAGTCCAGAAGGTTCGAAAATAGGCAAAACCTTAATACGACTATCATCCCTCCGTCTTTTAATCAGATTCCCACCATCACCATGTCTATAAATGGGTCTCTTTCTAAATTTGTCCATGTTCTTTCTATCACCGTATATATATAACTTGAATCTACCAGAGCCTATAAGCCAAACTAACGAAATTTTGCACAGAAAACTTCAGTGCCTACCTTAATCACCTTGAAGATAACCAACAGATGACCTTAGATCAACTTCAAACACCTCTTTCCAACTCCCAAACCTCCAAAATCCCAAGTTTTAAACTAGAGATGAGGTATGATGCCTTCCTTTAATACAATTTCGAAATCCATTCTTGATATCTGATATTAACTTTAAAAGGCATAAAATCCGATATCACCATCAACGACACTATATAAGCCGAACTGAATAAAATTTTTCCTGACAAAGCTCATCTCATCTCATCTCATCTCATCTCATCGCCAAATTTGATATAAAGAACCAGAGAGATCAGTTCAACATATTGATTAGATTATGGTTTTAGTTGTATATTTGGGGTTGGAATGGTGATCTAAGCAAGGCGATTGACGTTTGATACAGTGGTGGTGACTTATTGTTGGCTTTAAATATTAGAATTTTGCGTTATTTGCTTTGGCTCAGAGAAAAAATAATAATTATTATCTCAGTTATATTGAACAGTTTACGCAGAAACTGTGACAAGATTTAAATTCAATAGATAACTTATCAAGAGCATATATTCTGGATATTTAGATTAAGATGGCTAAGAAACAAAGATATAACACTACTCAGCGTAAGGAGCTACGTAAGAAGGAAGTAGACTACATTAAAGAGTTAGAAACAAAAATTGACGAATATGATGCTAGTATAAATAAGCCAGTCTTCTTTAAGGACTTACCTATTAGTAATTCAACTTTAAAAGGTTTGAACGATTCTGCTTTTCTTAAGTTGACAGATATTCAAAGAGATTCTATCCCAATGTCTTTAAAGGGCTATGATATCCTAGGTGCTGCGAAAACAGGTTCTGGTAAAACTTTAGCATTTTTGATACCTGTATTAGAAAAACTATATCGTGAAAGATGGACTGAATTTGATGGGTTAGGTGCCTTAATCATCTCACCTACAAGAGAATTGGCAATGCAGATTTATGAAGTTTTACTTAAAATCGGTACTTCTACTTCTTTCTCTGCAGGTTTGGTTATCGGTGGTAAAGATGTCAAATTTGAAATGGAAAGAATTTCAAAGATTAATATTTTAATTGGTACACCAGGTAGAATTTTGCAACATATGGATCAGGCTATTGGTTTGAACACTTCAAATTTACAAATGTTAGTATTGGACGAAGCTGATAGATGTTTGGATATGGGTTTCAAGAAAACTTTAGATGCAATCGTAAGTAATCTTCCACCAACTAGACAAACTCTATTGTTTTCTGCTACTCAATCACAATCGTTAGAAGATTTGGCTAGATTGTCATTGACAGATTATAAAACTATCGGTAACCCTGATATTTTGAACCCATCTAATGGTAAAGTATTAGGACCTAGTACCCCAGAAACTTTACAACAATCATACATTAATGTCGAACTTCCTGATAAGTTAGATATGTTATACAGTTTTATCAAATCTCACTTGAAAAGTAAAATGATTGTATTCTTATCAAGTTCTAAACAGGTTCATTTTGTTTATGAAACTTTTAGAAAAATGCAACCTGGTATATCATTAATGCATTTGCATGGTAGACAAAAGCAAAAAGCTAGAACTGAAACTTTGGATAAATTCAACAGAGCTCAACATGTCTGTCTTTTTGCTACTGATGTTGTAGCTAGAGGTATCGATTTCCCTGCAATCGATTGGGTCGTTCAAGTCGATTGTCCTGAAGATGTGGATACTTATATTCATAGAGTTGGTAGATGTGCTCGTTATGGTAAACAGGGGAAATCTATGATTATGTTGACACCTCAAGAGGAGGAAGGTTTCCTAAAGAGACTTGCTTCAAGAAAAATCGAACCAAGTAAGTTGACAATTAAGCAGTCGAAGAAGAAATCAATCAAACCACAATTACAATCATTGTTATTCAAAGACCCAGAATTGAAATATCTTGGTCAAAAAGCATTCATTTCATATATCAGATCTGTTTTCATTCAAAAGGATAAAGAAGTTTTCAAATTCGAAGAACTCCCTACTGATGAATTTGCAAACTCATTGGGTTTGCCAGGTGCACCAAAGATCAAGATGAAGGGAACTAAATCTGTAGAACAAATTAAACAAATGAAAAATGCATCCAGACAATTGCTGTCTTTGGCAAAGACCAATGAAGACGGTGAATTAGTTGAAGAGAAGAGTAAACAACCAGTTAGAACAAAATATGACAAAATGTTTGAACGTAAGAATCAAACAGTCTTGAGTGAACATTATTTGAACATTACAAAAGCCCAAGCTCAAGAGGATGAAGATGATGATTTCATTTCTATCAAACGTACTGATCACGCCCTAAATGAAGAAGAGCTGCCTCAATTAAGTTTACCATCTTCTAGGCGTGCACAAAAGAGAGCCTTATCCAAAAAGGCTTCATTATCTACTAAAGGTAACGCTACGAGAGTTGTATTCGATGATGATGGTGCTGCTCATCCAGTTTATGAATTACAAGGTGAAGAAGATTTCATTAAAGCAGGTGCAGCAGAAGATCAAAAATTGGAATACTTACAGAAGGAAAAGGATGTCATGAATGAAGTTGATGTGGAGGATAAACAAGTTGCTAAGCAAAAGAAGCAAGAAAAGAAACGTAAGAGATTAGAAGCGATCAGAAGAGAAATGGAAGCTGATATGGACAATGAGTCCAGTGGTGAGGAAAAGGTTCCATTCCTAGGAACAGGTAATTTAAGCGATGATATGCAAGATCCAGATTCGGATGACGAAGAAGGATCACGTCTAAGAAAGAGATCTAGATTTGAAACAAACAACAATTACAATGACAACGATTCTGATGACGGTGTTATTCAAGTTGAAGAACCACAGACATTAGAAGATTTAGAATCGTTGACCGCAAGATTAATTGACAATTGATCATTCAAGTCTAGCATAGAAAGAAAAAATTCTGTCCCAAGACATTTTTAGAACACACATTACAAAAGGACTGTATTAAAAGTGTACCATTGACATCATTATAATAAGATGTTTATGGAAAGGTATATCTTCCTTCCCTTCCCTTCCTCTCAATCCATTATCCATTATCCATTATTGCATCAAGACAGAATTAGAATAAATTGTTAAATCACATGATCAAAGCTAGCGGAGAAAAGGGATAGAATAGAGATGCACAAGTATATCTACCACGACCAGATACTCTTTGATTGCTTGCAAGATTCAAGACACCAAATGAAACCAAACCAATGGACCAATTGATTATAGAAGCCTTTATATGGCATTTGTATAAGTTATAGTAGTTAGTAATAAGCAGTAACAGCATCTTCACAACTTCCCATAGTATGTATGTATATACACCGTCGTATACAATTACAATAGTTATAAAGCGGACTGATAAAAATAAAATTAAATATTTTGGAATATTAGAACGATGAGTTTCTATAAGATGATGTTGATGAACTTGTAATAAAAGTTTTGACAAATTTTTTTGGGGTTGCTACAAGAGGGATACAATTGCTGACATTGGTTAGGATCTGAGTGGTAGCAGGCCGGTATTCAAGTGTTGTTTTGAGATTGAGGTTTGTTGGGAAAGGATAAGGGAAAAGTGG